TCTTTGTACCCTTCGTTGAAAGGTTGGGAAGCTCCTCCGTGAGCCGGTGGCCACGTTCGCAGGCCGCGTGACCTCCGTCGTCGTCGAGTCCACCCTTGTCGCGAACGCTCGCTTCCACATGACCGTTGTCGAAGACGTCGTCTCTGAGCCCGTCGTCCACGTGCCCGCCGTCCGTAAGAAAAGGGGAAGGATCAGCCGGGAGTGGTGAAGGCGATGATGGAGACGATGGCAAACAATCTTCAGAAGGTGGTGGAGGCGATGGAAGAGGCAAGGGCAGAGGTCCAGAACTTGACTCTGGACGAGCTGGAGGCGTCGGATGTCGCGCCGCCGAAGAAGAGGTCGCCGGCGAAGTTGAAGGCGGCGGAGGCCGTCGCGCCGTTGAGAGCGAGCGTAACGCCAACAAAAGTTCCGGCGGAAAAGCCGGCGCGGAACGTCCAGGAGATGGCGGAGGCGTCCGACGTCGCGCTGTCGAACGTATAGGTGACGGAGCACGTTGCGCCGCCGTCGAAAAGGATGTCGCCGGCGCCGATGACGATGAAGGTGGCGGAAGACGTCTTATCGCCGAAAACGAAGTCGCCGGCGAAGGTGAAGGTGGCGACGTAGGAGAACGTCGCGCCGTTGCAAAGGGAGTTGCCGGCAAACATGTCGAGACCGGCGCCGCCGAAGGTGAAGGCGGCGATGGAGGCGACGGCGGAGGCGTCCGACGTCGCGCCGTCGAACCTGAAGTCGCCGGCGAAGGTGAAGGTGGCGGAGGCCGTCGCACCGTTGAAATTGAAGGTGGCGTCGGCCGTCGCGCCGTTGAAAGGGAGGTCGCCGGCGAAGTTGAAGGAGGCGATGGAAACGACGCTAGCTCCTCCAGGTCCGCCAGTTCGCACGCCAATTCGTCCAATTTCATGTCGAGCCGGTCGGCGTTGAAAATATACTTGTATGCCCGCTCATGGGCGCGGTCGATGACAGCCTGGGAGTCGGGCAAAGTTGAAGCGTAAATGGCAAGGGATTCCGCGGCGGCGTCGGTCAATTCTTTAAGGCGAGGCTGAAGGTAGACGGGATGAGGGTTGAGGCCGGAACTAATCCTTCCCCAAGTGTCCTTGACGAAGCGACCAAGGCGTTCCAGGTCGCCCGTGTGCTGGGCGGCAGCGACGGCGGGCGAAATATTGCGAAGCATCCTGGTGGTCGTGTCCGTAGAAAAATCAATCGTCGGTAGGTTACCAATGAAG